GTAAGGTTTCTTTATCACTCTGTCACTCATCTTCACTTCTGTTTCATCTTCTTCACATGCTAGCCCTGTTGACATATAGAATTCTCTGGTTGAAAATCTCAGAGGCTGCTCGGCGAAGGTAAACCAAAGTCCTTCTCCTTTTGTCAGTACTCTTCGCTGCATGAGGAAATGAAAAAGACTCTCTGAAAACTCAACACTTCTTCTTCTCACCAACTTCACTACGTTTCCAATGTGGGAGTTTTCTATCTGAGCAAACTCCTTCTTTCCTAAAACGGCAGCAACCTTTTTCACATACTCCATTCTTGAGTGCTGGATAATGACCTTCGGATTATCTGGTGGTTCTATTCCAGCTTCATAAACTCTCTCAGGCAAACGCATCGATGGGCAAAATTCATTGCTATCCAACTGCTAAAAAAATTCAACATGACTCTCGATTTAGAAAGGGTTGTAAATTCAATAAAACGATGATGTTACTTTTATTCAACGATTACAGAATCAAACACTAATCGATTAGTCGGATCTCAAAACCACATGAAGCTCGTATTTTTAGAAAGGATTCTAAATTTACAAAATCTCACCTCTTTCCCTTAGATCGAACAAATAGATACAAAAAATTGGAACTTTTGTATACAAACAGATTGTATTCGAAGAAGATCTAATCTATTAACTTACAAATTTAGGATTGGATTGAGGAGTCGACATTATTCTCCGGTGTCGATGAACAAGTTACCCGGCGTTGATGAACACGTCACCGGCGTTGATTTAGGCTTCACCGGCGTTGATTTAGGCGTCACCGGAGTTGAATCTCTGTTATCTTCTTCGTCGCACTTTTGTGAGAGAGAGGGCGGCGGATCTACAGAGAGAAAGAAAATAGAACGTAAGTTAGGGAAGGAAGGGTAGTATTGTCATCTTGTCACTAGTGAATTGTGTATTTATGAAAATGTCCCTTGACTTGTGGTAAAGGTGAATTGTGGTATCACAAAAATGGTAGTTATGCAATTTTCCCTAAAAAGAGACGTAAAACTATTATATCCAAATAAATATAGATTTTTCCAAAAAAAAATCTTCAGTCTGCGTGTGTTTTACTGACAAAAATATATATTTACAACATGTTTTTAATGATTTTAAAACACTTAATCTCAATCACATAAATTAATTTTAATAGTTATAGTCTTTTATTAAAAATCAAATCATCTATTCTAAATTTACAAACTTAAATAAAAATAATTGTTAAAATATCATTTAAAACGTGAACACATGTAAACAAAGAAGTAAAAGGCAAAAGAAAATAAAACAAGTATATTTTAATAAAAATCATTAAAAAATAAGAATATGATTTTCAAATGATGAATTGGTAGTAGTTAATACCTTAGTAACACATGTGTTGTTTTGTACCGTGACAACTATCATATAATTATGATAAAAAAGACAACTTTTTGGTGCTTTCTTTCATCTCTATTATTAAAGAGAAGTACCCACTAAAAATACCCCTAAGTTTTCCAACTTATTTACACTCATATGCCACTGAGAATTTAATTAAACTTCATATTTAAATGCTTGTCTTTTTCAGTTATATTAATTAAACATCCTATTTAAATGCTTGTCTTTTTCAGTTATATTAATGAGTTATTTAATCAACCAAAAAATACCTGCATCACTAACATGTCTTTTTCACGTATATTAATTATAACTCATTTACTGCATCACTAACATCACTGATATATTACATGCATCTAAAATGTGTATCAAAAAAACGTGTATCACTAATATAATATAGAGAAATATAATATTAACTAACACACAATATAACATGTGCATGTATTAACTATATCTAATACTATAAAGTAGAGTTTTCTCTACTTTTAGGCTGACACGTCAGTAATTGAATGTTTGTTTTTGTGACACGTGTCCAAGGACAATAAATTATGCGTTTTGTTTAACGATGAAGGAAAATCTGTGGGTTTCGTTAAAACTAAAACCCAATACCTAAACTCTATAGTCTTCATCACCTTTACACCGTATTAGTGTTCTTCTTTCTCTTCCCCTTCCTAAAAAAAAATTCTGCGATTAATTCACATCGACATCACGATTCGACTCCATCTCAATCTTTCTCCAAGAAGGCTCCAGCAATATAACCGGTGACTAATGTGAAATCCACGCCGAATAGATTCTTCAAACGTAGATTCCAGTAAGTTAGATGCACAAGGAAAGTACCTACAATCAATTCTTCAGAAAGCTTGCAAGGTCTTCCACGAGCAAGCTGCTACTTTTGCTGGACTTGAGACAGTTAGGGAAGAGCTACATGCGCTAGCCATAAAAGTATCTAATAGCTATCGCAGAGCAACAGAGATGGTGATGATGCCATCGTTGTCCGACCTTGCTGTAGCAATAAACCACAAAAGAAACATCACAACCAATCCTGAAAGCTCTCTAACTTTCAACTCCAATGGGAGCTCTGTTTCTGCTGCATCAATGAAGAAGAGGCATCATGGAGAAAGTGTCGGTGTTGGGTATGAAGAGAGTTGGATTCTGCCTAGAGACCCATGTAAGCTTTCTTCCAGTTTGTTTCTTTCCATGTGTTAAGAACATGTGTTCAGAAATTTCATTCCTTTGGTTCGGAATGAACGGTGCATCTGTATGTGGATCAGCCTAATGCTTTCGCCGCCGGAAGAGATTTGAGGAGCTCCGTTTCAGTGGTATCAAAGGATCAGACTGTTGTCGTTACTCCAAAACCATGTCGTATTGGTTTCAGTAACCCTGCAGTCTACAAACAACTCCACCAACCCTCTCTGGCTCTGCTATTACTTAAGGTGAAAAGATCTTTTCCAAATTCGCAGATTTCACTACCCTGATAATTTGTTTGTTTGATTCTTAGTTTGCAGCCATCATCAAGGGGAGGACCTATTTGCTTCAGAGGCTGAGACTGATATTTTTAATATCATACTCACAAAGGTAATATATCTTTGGTTTGTTTGACTTCTTAATAGGTGAAATATATGTTCTTAAAAAAAATGTAAGTTCTTAAATCACCATTCATAATAAGCTGTGTAAATAGTGATGTAATTCAATTTGATGTCAAGTTTTTAGATCCACCACTGATATCACATTCAACCACATCCAACTAAGATTTCCGACTTGGCTTTTACATGTGCAAAACTACAGTTACATGAAATCGATGACCTCAGAACTACCTTAGTTTCGTTGGAGATTAGTAACTCCAAACTGATAGATGGTAAAGTTCTTTTGATTTGTTCAGTTATCTTTATAGAAAAGAAAGATTACAGTACATCTTTTGGTTTGTTGCCTTTTCTTTGTGTGAAGTTGCTTGGTAAAGAAGACACAGGGGAAAGAGCTTGACACAATGTTAGTCTGGCTTCCAAGAATTTATTGATAATAGATCGAGAAATTGGTGAAGGAATAGACGAAGATAAGAAGATCAAGGGCGTCTTCAACCTGTGTGGATATACCATGTCTGTGAAAGATGAAGGTTCCACATGGAGGAATGCCAATATATAGAATGGAAAAAAATGGTTTGGAGTTGTGGTGTGTTGTAATATATATATTTGAGATGAGAATATGTGATTTTGTAATGTTAGGATTCATGGTCAAATCATGGGGATACATTGACTTACTGGTTTTATTGAATTCTTTCGATTGGTCTTCCTGTTCTTGCAAATTTGTGAATTTTCTCAAAGGTGAAATGAAGAATTGGTAGTAGTTACTACCTTAGTAAAACATGTGTCGTTTTGTACCGTAACAACTATCATATAGTTATGATAAAAAGACACTTTTTTTTGCTTTGTTTCATAATTGTTTGAACATTATTTTCGTTCTATATTTCCAAAATCACTAAACTTGCAGAATTTTTTTCCCAATCTATCTATATAGATAAAAAGAGACGTAAAACTATTATATCCAAATAAATATAGATTTTTCCAAAAAAAAAAATCTTCAGTCTGCGTGTGTTTTACTGACAAAAATATATATTTACAACATGTTTTTAATGATTTTAAAACACTTAATCTCAATCACATAAATTAATTTTAATAGTTATAGTCTTTTATTAAAAATCAAATCATCTATTCTAAATTTACAAACTTAAATAAAAATAATTGTTAAAATATCATTTAAAACGTGAACACATGTAAACAAAGAAGTAAAAGGCAAAAGAAAATAAAACAAGTATATTTTAATAAAAAATCATTAAAAATAAGAATATGATTTTCAAATGATGAATTGGTAGTAGTTAATACCTTAGTAACACATGTGTTGTTTTGTACCGTGACAACTATCATATAATTATGATAAAAAAGACAACTTTTTGGTGCTTTCTTTCATCTCTATTATTAAAAGAGAAGTACCCACTAAAAAATACCCCTAAGTTTTCCAACTTATTTACACTCATATGCCACTGAGAATTTAATTAAACTTCCTATTTAAATGCTTGTCTTTTTCAGTTATATTAATTAAACATCTTATTTAAATGCTTGTCTTTTTCAGTTATATTAATGAGTTATTTAATCAACCAAAAAATACCTGCATCACTAACATGTCTTTTTCACGTATATTAATTATAACTCATTTACTGCATCACTAACATCACTGATATATTACATGCATCTAAAATGTGTATCAAAAAAACGTGTATCACTAATATAATATAGAGAAATATAATATTAACTAACACACAATATAACATGTGCATGTATTAACTATATTGGTTTATATAATGTATTCTACGGTATAATAACGTCACTGTTAAAAAGTAATATAGAGATAACTCTAATTTCAATATCAAATCGG